CCCACATGAACCCAGTACAGGTACCAGAAAGCATCTAAATTCTCACTGTAGCACATAGTAGAACCTGCCTTTTTCCTTCACAGCCAAAATCAACCAGGGACCTTTGGCTGGCTGGATAGTACCTTCCTTCCTCAGGGGTCTCCCCAATTTCAGTATCCCTCCAAAAAAATCCTAGGATTATTAGGGACTCCAGCAGACAAAGGCTGGGATCTACAACTATACCATCAACAGAAAGAAAGAAGGAAGCAAATCCCAGCCATCTACTTATTCCTACCCATCTTTCTTAATCAACTTCAGTATCTAAAAGGTCATCATGTACATTTACCGATGGGCAACGCTCCTGAAACAAGGGACAGGGAAGAAGACACATGAGGAACTCTGCGCTCTTGGGGCCAAGAGATGTGGACTTCTCTATAGTTTGTAGCTGCTCCTTCTGAAGTCAAAATTCTGTCAGTACCAGGGCTGCATCTAGTGCTTGGAGGTCTACATTAGAGCACCAGCAATGAGGGCTCCCTGGGACAAACCCCTCTGCTCAGAAAAGACAGCTACCCAGATCCAATGTCCACCTAGCTCAGTTATGAAATTACTGCACAGAGACCTCGGTCTCAACAGCGATAATCCGCCATGAGAGTCTGGTACCTGAGTTCCCTAAATACACTTCTGACAGTCCCTGCCTTTCATTGCACATCCCCCTTCCCTCCAGTCAAACTGGAACTTGGGGGGTGGGCAGAGAGAGGAGGCATCAGGGCACCCCAGAGACTGGCGGTCTAGAAGGTCTGAGCTGGGAGACACAAACATCTCCCACAACAGGGCAGAGCCACGGAGGCAATCCTAAAGGAGAGTTAACTTATGAGAGGAGCAGGATTTTGAGCAGGGGAGGTGGGAAGAAACTCCTTGCATTATGCCAAACTAAAAATGAATTATTCTGACCCCTTTACTGCAGTGGTTATCCAATGACCATTCAATATTTCCACCCTGGGCAAAGACATGTTTTCTGAGAAAGATTTACTATGTTAGCTTGGGCAATACTTCACAAGCTTATCTTACAGTGAAAACACACTTCAGCAACTAGGATCCAGTGAAACTGCATTATAATCTCAGTGTTTTCCTTTCAGCGATTATCTGACAAACCAAAACTGTAATAGTCTTACCTAAAAAAAAATTAGGGACTAGATACAAAAAGCAACTCAAATTAGTTATGTTATTACCAACAAAGTAGATCCAGGACACTTGGAATGTGCCTTCCCTCTGTACAAGATCAGTTTAGGCAGCTTCAATACACACTTAGATTTGCCTGACAGGCATTCCTAGGTCAAACTTTTTTTTTTAAAGCCCCCCAAATTTCCCTTTACAATTACCATGACATGAAAAGGTGGCCAAAGTGGACTAAAAGCCATCAGACTAGAATTCTGATTACTTGTGACAGATCCAAAATTATTTTCACTAGGCTTGCATTGGTCACTGTGGAAATTTGCAATTCTGTCCAAAAAGAATACAATTAAAGATGCAATATCCACTTGCAAATGAAAATATATCGCAGCTTCAGATCTCAAAAACAACTCACTGGGAAAAAAAGAATCTCTCCCTGGATGGAAAGAAACAAGTTTTTTAAAAAAATAGTTCAATGTTTGCTACTTCAGCTAGGGGGGAAAAAAAAAAATCTACTTGAGAAGTTATTTGGCTTACTCTACATGGGTATATCTAAGAATCCCATCAGAAGGCATTATTGATACGAAGCTTTTAAAAAAGAAAATACTGCTCTTCAGCTTAGTGCTCAGATACCAGCACATCCATAGCAAAGTCTACTACTTATTAATGAAGTAACAACACTTAGGTTCTCTGATGTCTGCTGCAATAAGCAGTTTTCAGCATATTCTGTTTTAGTACCAAATACATAAGGAAAGTAGTGTAAAACAAAGCAATTTATTATAAATATCTCAAGGATTGTGTGTCACACTCAAGAAGGATATGTTTTTGGAAGTTCTGTCTATATCAACACAAGAGACATATGGAAATGAAAACTCCCTTCAACCAAAAAGCAATACGTTCAAATGCATGCAGAGATTTGCCCTGGATTAGACGATTCTACTACAATCGTCATTTTTAGGGATGACGAGAAGGAAACATGTTGCTCTTTAGAAGACAGTACAAGGGCTCTTCACATTCTGTCATCGATGTTTATTGGCACAGAACAGGTTTTTCCTCCAGAACATGAAACTAATGGTAGGAACTAGTGGTTCACATCATACTTGGTCCTCCCTTCACTAAGTAAATCAAAACGTAATTTTTTGAGGATCAAAGCAAAGGGATCTGGTTTCTTAGAAACACCTCTCCCTAGCTGGATGATTTCAGTTCCTACAAAGTTATTTCGGTACCTATAGAGGTAGGAGCTCTGAGCT